AAAAAATAATTTTTTGAATGTGGCCTAGTACGTATTACAGTAAAATATTGTCAAGCAATTATGTTTACGTCGAAATTCTGTGTTTAGATATTGTCAGGTTGTGTAAAATGGTTTTTCTATCAAATCCTCAAGTTACATTGCAATCTTCAATTTTTCTTTTTCCTGCAACAGGTGCTTGTCAACCACTCAATAATTCTTTCACCATATTAACAAGCAATTATATAATATGATCACAAGATGAAGCCATAATACGTGAACGTATCGAGACATTATTCATTGATAATTTACATGTTAATCGCATCGACGTCCAATAGTTTTACCAGAATTGCGATAAAAGTGCTTCGTCGTAAATTTACAAGAACTTCATTAAAACTTGAAAGAAGTTCGACGACCAGCATGAAGTAATAAACTTGATCATTTCAGAAGACATGACTTCGGTGAACTGTGTGCGACGCATGCTTGAAACGTTACTAATAAGTTTAAAGGACTAAAACTGTATATTATTCAAAGAGCCATATTTTTACCTCCGCTGTAAAATCGAACGTCAGGAATGATGTTGATATATGATTAATAGACTTGGTGGTTTTCGACTTTGCTTCGATTTCATTGATCAAAGAAACAAGATTAACATAAGGTTTTTTTAGGAATTTTCTTAGGAAAATTACAAAAACCGTTAGCATTTTTATTTTATCCCTAGTACTGACTTTTATCCATTGAACGAGGTAAATATATATTGCAGTCTATTCTCTTCAAAAGCTTTGAAATATTTAAATTTGCTACGTGGTATACCTATCTCTACGGATGTGCGTCAATTTGACGCGATCGTAATGTAAATAAAATTTTTAGTAATTAGTTTTACCCATGCAAAAATTACAATAATAATAAATATAAATGTAACGACAATACCTTATAAGCGACGGACTTCGTTATTCCGGAGTTGCACGCGGCCAGCTAAGCCGGTATGCCGGGTTCAGACCCGGGGTCGCAGTACAAATCGCAGTTCGCAGGGTTCGTTATTCCGGAGTCGCACGCGGCCAGCTCAGCCGGTATGCCGGGTTCGGACTCGGTGTCGCGGCACAAATCGCAGTTCGCAGGGTAGAGGGAACTAATGAGTGTAGAATATTGAAGCAATGTACTAAAATATTATTGAAGTGGTTATTTTCCTTTAAATATATGTATTCATGCGTCAATTTGACGCGTGTTCGTAGAGATAGGTATATAAGAAATGTCCGTAAACCTAGTATTAAAGCAGTAAATAAATTGTTTATCTATATAGATTTAGTCTAATAAAAGTGAAATATTTTAAAGTTGTAATGATTTTGAAGAAAATGACTACCGCATACTTAAAGAATTGATAATAAATTCTTGTTATATGACCTTCTCAGGGATATTCACGCATGGTAATAAAGATCCCTCATTATTGCATATTAACTCATTGGGACTTTGAAAAATTACCACCTCGTAATATCAAAGAGAAAAACCTTCTCTGTATATTGTCGATTTCAAGAGTATTTAACATTCTTAACTAAAAAATTAGTAATTCCTTTCTCTTCAAAATTTTATATTAGAAATCAAATGAAATAAATGAAGTTGCATATAGCTCTATTTAGTAATAAAATAAAGTTGCAAATATTATGTTTAATGACATTCAAAAGAATTCAAAGAGATCTTTTTCTAATTCCACTTAATAACAGTGATATAAATATTTACTATAATTCTCTACAATTTCAAGGAAATTTTGTTTACAATTCTCAACAATAAAATATAAAAAATTACAAGTTTTTATTTCTATACATTTCTAGTAATTTATATCAATTTTAACTTATTTATTCTATTGTTAAATATCAGTAGGTAAAATTTTGTATCCACTGTAGGTTAATATTACTTTAAGTGCTAACTTGAATATTACTCTAAGTGCTAAGTTGGATATTACTCTATATAAAAACAATCTATTTCTTTAAATAGTCTATTTAATAGTCTGTTTAAAAAACAATTTACCTTTAAAAATGCACAACCGAAAGAATTATTGGATCTTGACACACATTTGTCAAACATTTTATTACGAATTGGTCGAATGACGCAATATTCCCCTAGATGGATTACTTGACCTTTGATTTTTAATTATTCCACACAGTGATGCGAAGAAGGACAGTTTTCGCGTAATAGTACGAGAAAGACCTCGCGGTAGAATGACTTTTATGGGCCCCCTGACACCAAAAGATTAAAAGCCATCGTCAAACTCGGTGTACAACAAAAAACTATACAACCTGCACTAACATGGAATTGATTGATTAATGAGAATAGACGAGTCACGATTATTCTAACTCGAGGATTTATTTCCTATTTTAGTAGTGTCACGTCGTATATTAAATGACCGATTTCGAAACGTCTGTAAAACGTCATTCGCTGACATAAATGAACGTTAAAATAACACTGCATCTATATCACATTAAAGACTGAAGTTTAACGAAAGTTATTGCATTTGATACCTTTGTCACAAAATAATAGATTCTCGGTTGCAAACATTGATCGATTGTAACGCTTTTAAGAGCTAACAAAAATTGATGATGTGCCAATTACTGTTTTTAGTTTGAAACTCAAAGTTTGTTGAAAATGTTTGTACGAACCTTTTAACAAACTTTAAGCATTAAATTGATACACAGTATGTCGGAAAAGTAACGGAACTTTTTAAATTTAAGGATAAACTACTAGCGCCATCTATTAAAACAATATGTTATCTAAAAACAGTATACCTCCCCTACAAAACAACAATCATTATTGGAATCGAGCAACGAACTGTAAACTTATAGCGTTTAACGCGACAGAACCTTTCGTCACCGTGTCACAAAATCACGGTCAAGCGCAACAAATTACTCGCGTTGAATATTGTGAGCACCTTATCAAAACAGCCAGACGAAACTGTACATTCCTGGAATCAATTGTAACTAGTGATGAGACTTGATGCTTCAAGTATGAACCTCAAACAAAGCGCCAAAGTGCTACGCGGAAATCTCCAGGCTTTCCAAAATCAAAACGATTGCGATTCCAGAAGTCACGAGAGAAGTCAATGTTAATTTGCTTTTACGATTCTAAAGGAATTATACCGCGGGAATTCGTTCCACAGGGACAAAATGTTAATGGCGAATATTATCTGGGTGTTATGGAACGTTTGTGGAGGAGGATCGTTCGTGTGAGGCCCGAATATCGAGCGGGCGAATATTATCTCGGTGTTATGGAACGTTTGTGGAAGAGGATCGTTCGTGTGAGTCCCGAATATCGAGCGCCGGGAAGTTGGTTACTGTTGCATGATAATGCACCGTATCACAGAACTGTTGCTCTTCGTAAATTTTTGGCCAATGTTTTTTTATAAAAACACCATCATCAAGCTTTATTAGAATTTAATAAGTTGCACTAATTCCAAACACCAAATAAGTTCAATAAAATTATGTAACAAATATAAGATATTAAATACAGGCAAAAAATTAGGAAAACTTGAGAAATTTTGTAATGAAATTATTGTGACTATACGAACCCGTCGATAAAGTCTCTACCAGACAGTAAAACACCAGATAACTTTCAAATTTTATTGGTATTCGACTTTCACCGAAACGTAATTGATTCTTGATCAAAGAAAGCTAAGCCTAAATAATGTAAATGTCTCGTGAATATTTCATGTATTTTAAATTCGAAGCAACCGTGGTTCTCTGTAATTTCAGTTGAATTGATACGCAATTTTCGATTCGATACGCGTTGCTTTGTTCATAAAAATATTGCACTTTTAGGATGAAACATAGTTGCATAAATATTATAAGACACGGATTAAGCGATTGAGCTGACATTTAAAATTATGTGTCACGTTGTTGGATAATTTCTACTAAACTTTTAAAAGGTGAACAACATTAATTCAGCTAGGGACAGTAACGCAAACGACAAGTCCGGATAGCATTTTCGATACTTTACTATGTAATGAGCTCTTTCGATCTAAACTGAGTGGTGTTTAGATAGTTAAAGCCACTTTACGATTTGAATAAGAAGTAGATAAAATTTCAATATGTCTAACTTTTTCAATTTTCAAATTCCATTTGTTCCTCTTCGTTTCCAAGCGCCCTATATTTTTATACTTTTAACCCTTTGTATTCGTATACCACACTGGAGGAGACAACACCAAATATCTTTGAAAATAAATCGACTACAAAGAGTTAAACTCCCAAAGAAATAAATTTCAAAGTTTTCAAACGACTAAATCCTCGAGGTACAAAATTTTTTAATATAAAAGTCTGGATATATGAAAAGCTTAAAGTTAAAACATTAGTAAAGTTAAACACCTAAAATTTTTACAATACAATATCTTTCATATTCAAGCTTATCAAATATTGAAGATAGAAAATCTGGCAGCTGCAAATTCTTTAATTTCGACATTGGAAAATTAAAAAATTGAACAATTGAACAATAAAAAAATTGAAACATTGAGACATTAAAAAATTGTAAAAGTGGAAAATTTTATCATTTGAAAATTTGAAAATTGGAAAAGTGGGAAATTGGAAAATTTGATCACTTGAAAATTTCAAAATTGGGAAATTGGAAATTTGAAAAATTGAAAAATTAAAAAATTGAACAATTGAACAATAAAAAAATTGAAACATTGAGACATTAAAAAATCGTAAAAGTGGAAAATTGGAAAATTTGATCATTTGAAAATTTCAAAATTGGAAAAGTGGGAAATTGGAAAATTTGATCATTTGAAAATTTCAAAATTGGGAAATTGGAAATTTGAAAAATTGAAAAATTGAGAAATTGAGAAATTGAGAAATTAGGAAATTGGAAAAATTGGAAATTCGAAAATTTGAAAGTTGAAATCTGATTTCAATCTGAAAGTTGAAATGTAAACCAATGTTACAATGAAAATTTGAAACAACCTTAGCCATTAATGCCTACTAATGAATGCAACTTCAATCACCGCTAATTACCTAGATAATTAACTGACAGTTTATTTGTAATAGGTGATTGCCACATCGCTGTTGCAATGCACTCAGCAGCAAGGAAGCAGGCAGAACAGAGAAGTGGTACTGAACATCAGTGATGATCAAAAAACTCAATACTTGAACCAAGACTTCTACTCAAGTAAGTATCCACCATCACTATCGCAATGAAACGAGTATTCCGGTTTGCGAGTAAACACAATACAATAGCTATGAAAGGGTTAACATAATTTAAAGAATGTCGAAAATTTGTTTACCAGATGCATATAATTATGGTTACGAAATCAGCCCGAGTGGACAGTTTCATCACGAAGTACGTGGGCCAGATGACATAACATATGGATGCTACGGGTACATAGATCCATATGGAAAATTGAAAACAACGTTCTACATAAGTGACGGGTGGGGATACCGTGTGGTACAACCCGGCAATGCAGTTGAATTATTCCATCACGAGCATGAACATCATCACGATGATTCGAATCATGAAGACCATGGCGATCATGATCATCACGATCATCATGGTGTAATTACGGAATGGAGGGACTTGTTTTTCCCTGAAATTTGCAGACACTTTGATGGCACAGGTAGCGGACCAGTTAAACCGCCTGGCGGTAAGTAAAATATACGTATTCAAAGCAAACATCAATTTAGCATGTTAATTGGCAACACATGATATGCATACAGGTCCGGGCACGGATGGTTCAAGCATTGGAGCAACACCGGTACGACCAGGACAACCTCAATATCCACAACCACCAGATTACCCTGCACAACCCGGTTAGTATTTAATGAAGGAAATAACAGGTTCGTTAAGATGGATTAAAAAATAAACCTTTCACGTATACAATTAAACAATATGTATATCGCGAGCCAGTAAAAGGTCAAAACCGTCTAATAAGGCTTTTCTTCTAATAAGGAATAAAAGATGTTACTCATATAACAAGAGGGTATAACACACAAAGCAAATAAAATGAATACGAGGTGTGACACAAAAGTAACGAGACTAGTCCAATAAATCATTGTACCAGCAGAATCAGTTTTCCGTGACATTATCACCTTCAAAGTAGTCCCCTTCAGCATTCGCACACTTTTGCATTTGGTGCTGCCATTGCTGGTAACAATTCTGGAACGAGGTTTTTGGAAGTCCCTTTAGGAGATTCTCCATTTCTGCCTGAACCTCTTTAACTGAGGTGAAATGGGTTCCCATTAAGCAAAATT